TTCACAACAGAATACAATACAACAGTTTTAAAAAAGTTTTGTGTCTGTTTTTTTTTGTTCACTGTTTTTTTTTAATTTCTTCACTTTCAAAGTTTATTCCTTTCTTCTTCCTTCTTTTTTCTTTCCTTTTTTTTTTCTTCTCTTTCCAAACGTCTCGGAGTTCTTCCTTTGCCGAAGGCACCTCTCTTCTTCTTCTTCCTCCTCCTTTTCCTGTTGTTTCTTAGGGCAGTGTGAAGGCCAGTGTCCTTTCTCTTGACAACGATAACAGGTATCTTGACTTTTGTGTCTTATGGCACTGGTCTTGCCTTTATGACGATCTGGACATTCTGTAGCCCAACGCCCTTTATTTTTACAGATATAGCAAGGATCTTGACTTTTATCTCGAAAGGAGGAAGAGTAGTCCGTTGGATTGTCTAAAGAAAACTTTCGTATGACACCTCGCAAAGCTCTAATCAGATGTTCAATCTGTGTGGGTTCTTCCATCGTGCTGATTGGTTTGAGAGCAAAATGAATACTGGGAGAGAAGTCACCAGCCCTTTATATATGAACTGGTCTCACATGAATATATAGGGGACCATAGTGTTTCAAATGTAGTCATTTGACTTTTTGCACTCAAGATGAAGCGATCACATCAATTCGTACAGAAATGATCTGGAAATAACGGTATTAAGGAAGCAGCTTCAAACTCACAGAGAGAGAGAGAGAGAGAGAGAGAGAGAGAGAGAGAGAGAGAGAGAGAGAGAGAGAGAGAGAGAGAGAGAGAGAGAGAGAGAGAGAGAGAGGCAGGGATAGGTCAAGGAACCCGATGAGTCAAGGGGAAAGATCACGAGCGGTCGGAATAATCAAGGGTCGAAGAGCACCAAAGCACACATACTAGACGTGGAGACAAGACGAGAAGGAGACAGGCCAGGTGATGCTCTATGAGCGTGGGAATTGCACTCAAAATTCAACACTCGTGATATGATGAAAATTGGACTGTGACTAAATTCTGTCACTGTAAATCAGTTGGCAAGGAAAGTGAAATTTAGCCATGCATTAATTGTTTGGAAAGTGAATTTTGGTTATGCATTAATTGAGTACATTTAATTTAGTAAATCTGTTGGATGAAAGTGATTTTCTTTTGATTATATATTAACTGATTTAAATTTTATGTTTTATTTATTGAAAGGGGGCTCGTTGTTATTTATTTCTTTCGATAATTTGCTCAGCTAACTGTAACGTTCCATCTATCTGTCCACACTGGGAAATAACACCGTAGATATCATTCCCTAGCTAACGACTCCGAATTAATTAAGGAGGGTTTTAATGTAATGTTATAAATTCCCCGTTACACTCATACTGAGCCAAAGCTCTCCTTTACTATACATTTAATCCCATGACCCAGAACCATTCATCCACTTAAACACACCACTGAAAAAGTGGTCCAGGACCATCACATTTTAGCTGCGTTTGGCTACATCTATATAAAACACATTTATGTGCATAAAAGTGACCACTTCTTAAAACGTGGTCCATAACCACCCCGTTTTATGCACTGCAGTGATCCCTCATGAAAAAGTAGTCAAAATCTCTAATCTTCCATACTACTCACTTGGGATTTATATAATTGGTACCGTTATACCTGTACACAAATCTATGACTGTTGAAGAGATTAAGATGGCTACTTTAGTCGACCAGGACCTTCAGCATGTCATCAAATCGATACATTCTGTAGATTGGAAACATTCATACAAACAGCACAAAACCTTGGAAACATTTTCAAGACTCAGACGTGATCGCACAATCATTCCAGTTACAAATGGTGTTGTCCTACTGTGTGACAGAAAATTACTAACACAGAAAGGGTTACAACAAAGAGTGATAGAACTAGCACATGAAGGCCATCAAGGCATAGTCAAGACAAAACAACTGCTTCGTGATAAAGTATGGTTTCCTGGTATTAAAAAATAAACAGAGGATTAAAGTCAAAGTTGTATACCATGCCTTACATGAAGTCCAAAGGAAATGACGGAGCCGCTAAAAATTACAGTTATACTAGTCAAGCCTGGTGTCCGATTAGCTTGGATTTCAATGGCCCTCTTTCATCCGGAGTCTACCTAATGGTACGTGTTAATGACTTCTCAAGGTATACAATTGTTGAAATTATTAACTCAACATCGGCAAAAACTGTCATCCCGCAACTTGACAAGATATTTTCAATGTTCGGAATACTAGAAGTTGTAAAAACGGATGCTGGACCTCCATTCAATGGATAAGAGTTTACAAAGTTTGCAGAATACATTGGATTTTAGCATAGGAACATCTCACCTTTATGGCTTCAAGCTAACGACGTAGCAGACAGGTTTATGAGAACAACTGGAAAAGCAACTAAAGCAGCTAATGCAGAACATAAAAGTTGGAAACAAAAAATGTACAACTTTTTATGTAATTACGGAGCGAAACCTCATGCAATAACCAACAAATCTCTCGCCTAGAAGCTACTTGGACGAAAAGAGGGAACTAAATTCTTAAGTATACAAATCAAATCAGATGACAACAAAGCCATGAAAACCGATACTGAGACAAAGGAAAAGATAAAGAGCGATGCAGATCAAACTAAAAAAGCGAAGTCAGATTTTGAATTTGGAGACAGTTTTCTAGCAAAGCAAGAAATGCGAGACAAGTTGTTAACTCCATTCAACCTCAAACCGGATGAAATCATCAACAAAACATAATGTATGGTATCAGAGTGAAGACCGTCAGATTACTAGAAATTCTTCATTCTTCAAGACAGGAAAGAATTCACCCCATATTCCACTACTGAATCCGCATCTAAGAGATCAGAGATAAGACAGAAAAATGATAGTTTTAAAGGATCTGATACTATTTAAATTTACTGGCTTATCATTGATACCCTTACAAAATGGTTTTAACATGTGCAAATACATAACGAAAGTTTTATTTTATTTTTTTAAATGTAACCAAACTTAAAATTCTGATAATTAATAAGTATGCAAAACTTTGCAAGAATAGAAAGATTTTGTTATTTTGTCCTCTTCTAGCAAAATGTCTTCAAGTTTATCATGCTGTTCGTTCTTCATAGATCGCAAGCAAGGTGCTGCAACTTTTACCTGATTTTCGCTATCAAAAATCCTAATTTCATGAATATATACATGCATGTAGTAGTTCAAACCCTTCTTTAATGCACGATCTAAAAGAGTCTTGCAATCAGGATGGAAAGTGTCAGAAACAGTGTCAAGAATATTGTCCGCTGAATCTGTAGCTGATGTTACCAATTCCGCCATATTCACGATAGCTGACGAATAGCAGCAACAGTAACTAAGTGGGCGGAGCTTATCATTTGATGTGGAACTATCCATTGGGCGTTTCGAAACAATAAACATCCATCTACCTAGTATGTGTTATATCAAACGAGATTGAGATTGAGTTTGAGAATGCAATACAACTTCAAAGGTACTTTTGAAGGACTGAATTTCGCATTCACCTTCCTCAGAACCGATTTTGATGCGATCATAGCCTTTGAAAAATGACCCGACCGGGTCAGAATTTAACTAGGGTCAAAATTTAATACTACACCTGGGTCGTTATTTAACAGGACATTTAAAAAAGGGTCAGATTTCAACGTGAAATTATGATCACTGCCGTTGAAAAATGACCCGACCGGGTCAGAATTCAACGAGGGTCAAAATTTAATACTACACCGGCACTGGGACGGACAGGTAGACATATAAGTAGATGAATACATACATACCTGGATAAGGAAAGGTATATAGGTAGGCAATTCGATAGGTAAGAACATTGATAAATATGAAGGTATATACACGGTATTTTGTTAAAGCACAGCGATTCCACTCTCTTCGAAAAAGCATAGTCATCCGCACATAGGGATAAGCAGGGGTGGGGTAGGCACTCCCTCCTCCAGATTTCACCTTTAAACATGTTTTGGCCTACATCCCTAAAGTCTAATGGCTGACCACTACATATTTGACACCTCCCCCTCCCATCCGGAAAAAAATTCTGCCGGCGTCCTTGAGTACACGCACTATAGCTAAAAGTATTTTGTAGACATCCTAGTCAGTCGTTTTAAACTCGGGCAGGGGTAAATATATTGAAGTGCTTTTACCCGTAAAAAGAGGTTGACTGGTTCATTAGATATACGTATTTATAGTATATGATGATATGAAACAAACTAGTTACAGGCCTTAGAAGAGCGATTGTAGCTTGCTTTTACGTCACATCCAAATAGCGCACTGTTGTTATTGATGTGCTCGATGTTAACGGTCCCTGACGTTTTAATGTGTAATCTAATTTTACTTTCTTGTTAGAGAGGCGATTAAAACCTCTAAATAAGAATTTGTGTTATCAGGCCAGGCCATCGGGTAAGGCGAACAAGGCAACCGCCTTGGGTCCCGCGCTACTCCGCAATGCAAATCTTTTGCTTGGGGCCCTGCGCTCATCGATTGCTGCCTTGGGCCCCGCACATCTTAGGGCCGGGCATGTCAGTTGTACATAGGCACTCTAGCAGTGATGAAAATGCTTCACCTTGAAATCCTTTCTCCATTAATTTATTTAGCCAAGTATTTCATCGCAAACGAATGAATTACAGCATTTATAGTGTGAATGGAGTTGGCGACCTAATATTCAGTTTTGTTCGCAGAAAACTAAAACTGAAAGTACTAATTCGCCTCAGTGTCACTACTCATATCCCAGATAAAGGAGATTTTCTGAATAAACTGAGTTGCATGCGAGCGCGCTCGTATATATGTGTGATCTGGATTTTTACTGTAGCTTTAACAAGTGTTCTGTCATATCGATACCATGTCTGTAATGTGATAGTATATAGTGATGTTTAGTAATGGAGCATCATGCCGCAGACATGTAGCATCATGTCTCACTCAATCACAATATCCTGACACCAGGCAGACCGTTCCTAACACTAACCTCTTAACGTTGAGCGCCAAGCGAGGCAACTGTTAGTACCCTTTTATAAGTCTTTTGCATAATTCGGCCGGGGTTTGAACCCACGACCTCTCTCATCCAAAGGCGGACGCTCGGACCACTTAAGCCACCGGAGTGGTGAAAAAAAATGAGTTGCAGTAATAATTTTTTTCTTTTAAAGATTTTTATTGTTTAACAATAAAATACTAATACTGTATTATACGTAGGAGAAACACACACACACACACACACAGACACACAAGAAAATAAAACGCAGATGTTGAAAAGATTATGATAAATTAAACTCCCAAATTTCAACCAGAAACCCTATCATTATGGTTTAGAACAACGGACCAGTTGGCTTTCTTAATGCCATGTTATTTATTGTGTTATAAACTATACAACGATACAATTCATTGTTACGTAGTGTATCAAGCTTGTACTGGTTACGGTAATGACACCCATCACCATTTATGACAACTAACATCATGGCAATTAATTGCTTCCCTCGTCATTTGATCGATCAGGAAAAATGTGGGCTAAAGTTTTACTGCACAACAATCATTCAATTGTAACTACTCTAATTTGAAAGAGTAACATATAAGTGCCAGTTTCTTATTACAGGTAATAAAATTTAATCTTACTACATATGACTCGCAGGTAATATTCAGCATGAAACAGAGATATAAAGGGGGATTTAAGATGCGAGCGTCTTAGCTTTCTTTAAAGTCCAAACAGTTGATATTGACTTTAAAACAGCCAACTAGCCTTACCAAAAGATCTAAATATGGATTTACTCCATGGCTAGATAAATAACTACTATTTTATCAGATCCAGTTATCGTTATAAAGCATTAGAAATTCGCAAAATAGCATAAAAACAATGGTGTCTTTAATTTCCATCTAGGCTGAAAAAAATAAGTTTCGGGGCCATTTCGTAATTATGAGTGATGCAACATTATGATGTTTTACTAGTATTTGGCAGAACTGAAATTTCACAATGATATTTATAAAGTCATTTTGATTCCTATTATAACCATGTTGTTGAAGATTATTCAGAAACCTCTAACTTGAACCAAGTTCGAATATTACGAATATTACAAAAGTTGTCTTGAGCGCATACGATACTGCATAATAAATATTGAAATTTTTCATGAAGTAACTGAAGTTCTTAGAATTTATTGTCATCTATGTCTAAATTTTCAAAAGTTCTTCTGACCAAATTTGACCTGATACGTGTTGAAGACAAGTTACCCATGTCTTTAACTGGCCGTGCGGTAGGGGCAGAATGATCGTTATCAACGGGAGAGAGAGAGAGAGAGAGAGAGAGAGAGAGAGAGAGAGAGAGAGAGAGAGAGAGAGAGAGAGAGAGAGAGAGAGAGAGAGAGAGAGAGAGAGAGAGAGAGAGAGAGAGAGAGAGAGAGTATGCAAACATTTCTAACTTGCCAAAATACATTCTTCTCCTTTCATTACTAGAATTGATTATAACCACATGCATATTTAACTACACAAAGCATAAACTATGCCTTTCACTATATGAACTTTAAATTTAAAGTAATTTTATTTTCTTACCTATTTTGAAAACTGCTCTTACAAACACACAAATCACGTGCATTTAGTGGTCTCCTACCCTACTACCATGGCATTCAGCTACGTGCCTTCTAATAAGGAATCAAACGACATGCCCAGTGAAGAATATACAATAGACTGAATTTTGCTTTTAAAAATCACCAGAGACCTTGTTGTTATCACCCCCAACTCATTAAAGAGTATGCGTGCATTTAGTGGCGTCTATGGCACCTCAGCTCAATAATGCATATACGGCACCAACTAAATTTGCAGTTCAAAAAATTTAAAAATAAAGAATCGCACACAAATATTAGGAACATAATCTTTCAAAAATGTATATATCAAGGATAACAATATAAAACATCAAAGAAAATTTTGTTCAGACTCTGCAAAAGGAATATCAAATGAAAGATGAGATAAGTATGTAAATTTTTCAAACATTTCATACAATAAAGATGCAGTCTCACAGGTACCAATCTTACACATAGAGTTCCACATTCGTGTCAATTACCGTAAATAATACTGTTTCTTCCCTGATGGCATCATTCACTGGAACTTCTTTACATTCTAACATACTTGAATTTGAAAATGTGTGTGCATTCAACCTGACAGTTAGGCACATCCATTATATATAACCATAATTCCATTCACATTTTATTTATTCATTTTGTATATTCTTACCATTTATTCAGCAATTTCTATCTCTCTTCGTAGAGAGGTGAGTGGACTGAGGGTGGGGAAAAGCCGGAGATCGCCCTCCCATTGATGAGCGCGAAACAACCGGACAATTTCCTATAGTACGTTTTCTCTAGGAGGAATTCAGGGGCTTCAATATATTAAGATCAGTTCCTATTGTCATTTTTTGTGATAAAACTTTCATTAATTGTCTATTCGTCACACAGATTTTGGAACCATTTTGTCATTAATACAGTAGAATGTACGCGTATAATCCCGTGAAAGGCTTCATTTAATAATGAGAGACAAACTATAGAGGCCTGTTTAAAAAAGTGGACATAATCTACGTAGAGAGGGTAGCATTGTTTAGAAAAATTATAGATAACGAAGGATAGAACTTTTTAAATAAATGGCGGAAAAATTCAGCACATCTTGCATAATTGCTTAAGCAATTAGCAAGTACTATGTAAATTTTGACCGTTTCTTTTAATATAAAAATATTTTTACAAAAGTTTAAGAAACAATCCCCTCCAAGTAATCACAGGAATTAAATGGATTATATCACAAATAGGCATGATGCATTTAGCGTGTGCTGGTGTTAAAATGCACAATATATACATCTACACGTCAGTTTTCGGTATGTATTAACCAAACCCATGTAATAGATACGTGTCAGTTTTCGGTACGTATCTACCAAGCACACGCAATAGACACATGTACGTGTCAGTTTTCGGTACGTGTCTACCAAGCACACGCAATAGACACATCTACGTGTCAGTTTTCGGTACGTGTCTACCAAGCACACGCAATAGACACATCTACGTGTCAGTTTTTCGGTACGTATCTACCAAAACTACGCTATAGACACATTTGTATGTCAGTGTTCGGTATTCTTCTACTAAAACAAAACGCAATAGATACATCTACGTGTCAGTTTTTCGGCACGTATCTAACAAAACCACGCTAGTGTTCGGTATGTATCTACAAAACCCAGCTGTTCTGTATCATGTATGCGAACAGAATATATTTGCTATCCATGTCCCTCATCTAATTTATTTTGCATCGAAATGCTAGAGTTTATAATTCATCGAAATGCAAGAATACACAGGTAACCGAAATGTGAAAGTACAGAGCTCATCGAAATGTGGGAGTACGCAGGCCACAAAAAAATGTGAGAGTACACAGGTCATCGAAATTCATGAGTAGACCGGTCTCCGAAATTCAAAAGTATAGAGCTCATCGAAATGCGGGAGTATGCAGGTCACCGAAATTTAAGAGTACACAGGCCACCGAAATGCTAGAGTACAGAGCTCATCGAAATGCGGGAGTATGCAGGTCACCGAAATGTGAGTACACAGGTGAGTACACAGGTCACAGAAATTTAAGAGTACACAGGTCACCGAAGTGCGAGAGTACCTAGCTCAACAAAATATGAGAGTACATACGTCACAAGAACACTTATGAAAACAACCGTTCTAGTTTGCAGATGCAATATTTATACGAATATGACCATACATTTAAAGAAATCACTGGAAACCACTTTGAGCTAATATCAGAATGCATGGAGGTAAAAACTAGTGCGAGTGTAAGCAGAAAATATGAATATGGAAGACGTGACATATTAGACTTCTCAAAAATCAATCAAAGAGCTCTCAGTACGTCCATTTAATAACGAATATCATTCTTTCAGACACTCAGAGAAAGTAAACATTTACACAGATATAGAATGAAATAACTAAAATCTTGACTTAGACAAGCTTGAATCTTAACCTGAGATGTGTAAATATACTGAAATGGGCTTGAGAACTTAAATCAAGTCGGGGATAATAGTTTTCTAATATGAATATTTCTATAATCCATTGAAGTTTATTTAATCAGGTAAGGTGTTGCGGTAGAGATAGTCATGATTGTTGTGTCCGGTAGATGATAGTCATACTTTTAACAGATTGTTGTGTCCAGTAGGTGAAATAACTTGGTTTGCATGAGCAGCTTTATGTATGTATGTATGTATGTATGTATGTATGTATGTATGTATGTATGTATGTATGTATGTATGTATGTATGTATGTATGTATGTATGTATGTATGTATGTATGTATGTATCTATATATGTATGTATGTATGTATGTATGTATGTATGTATGTATGTATGTATGTATGTATGTATGTATGTATGTATGTATGTATGTATGTATGTGTGTGTGTGTGTGTGTGTGTGTATGTATGTATGTATGTATGTATGTATGGATGGATGGATGGATGGATGGATGGATGGATGGATGGATGGATGGATGGATGCATGCATGCATGCATGCATGCATGCATGCATGCATGCATGTATGTATGTATGTATGTATGTATGTATGTATGTATGTATGCAGGTAGTTAGGTAGGTAGGTAGCCAGGCAGGCAGGCAGGTAGGTAGGTAGGTAGGTAGGTAGGTAGGTAGGTAGGTAGGTAGGTAGGTAGGTATGTATGTATGTATGTATGTATGTATGTATGTATGTATGTATGTATGTATGTATGTATGTATGTATGTATGTATGTACAGGATTTATTTGAAATTCAGCACAAATCTGTCTATTTAGTGCCTAAAAGTTAAGTTGTGAAATTGCAAAGATAAACACAGACACACACCACGAAACAGAAGTCTTTGGAGGCTATGTCAGCTTAACCTAACATGACTACCCTTTGTGCAGGAACTAATTTGGAAGACAACAGTATGCAAATTTCACGGATAATTAATATAGATAATATTGTAAAGAGAGTGGTAATTAGTACTTCTGTGGTCTTGCTTTGGCACAAAATATATATTTTCTTTGTGCTGTTGTCATGCTTGTGATAGATATCTAACGCAAACCGAATTTTATAATATAACATACTGAATGCATTGC